TAAAATGGTCTAGAATTATTAGGCTGTTATAATCTTAATTTTCAGTGCTAAGTACTTCACAGTAAAAGTGAGAATTACAGAGTTCTAAACTTTGAATATATTCCAAGTGATAATTTATGTACAAATTAACTTTATAAATAAGCAAGTGTCTAACAGTCCCAGGATTGTAAAATACTTACTTGTTCACAGAATGTCATCAGTAGAAGTATCTAGAGGAAGACAACCAGAATGAAGGGATCATAGGGTCATAGGAGCATAGACTTAGAGCTGGAAGAGACTTTAGAGGTCATAAATTCCATTTTGCAGATGAGGAAACTGAAACTCAGAAAGATTAAATGACTTGTGTGGGATGAGCATAGCTAGTAAGTCTCTGAGGAAGCATTCTTGACTCTGTATCCAGTGGTCCATATCCTATGAAGATGACTTTATGAAACTGAAGATATTGAGCCTGGAGAAAATAAGTAGAGATGATGAGGTGGGGTACAAAGTAGCTTATATTCAAATATTTGAAAGACTGTCATGTAGAAGAGGGATTTAGTTTGTTCTGTTTGGCCCTAGAGGACAAAGCCATTCGATATAAGTTATAAAGAGACAAATTTAGGCTTAACACCAGGAAGAATTTCCTAAAAATTAGACATGTTCAAAAGTGGAATGGAATGCTCAAGAGGTAATGTGTTCCCCCTCCTAGAGGTCTTTCAATAGAGGTTGAGTGGTCCCTTGTTGAATATATTATACTAGGGATTCTTTTCTAATATGTGTTGGATTGAGTGGACAATGTAGTCCCTTCCAATTCTTAACTTTTGTGATTGCTCAACCCATACCAAAACAAGAATCTCTGCAACAGATCTCACATCAGTTATTCTTTGGCCTGTTCTAGTAAAGATTGTAGCAAGAACAACTGCTCTAATGAAGGGTAGGAGCAGGGAACAGACCTGAGATTTCATTAGTATTAGGAAATCCCTGTAGGTCTTCTTTAGTTTCCCATTGATGTATAGTGCTTAATATGGCTGACCTGATAAATCTTTAAAAAAGGATGGAAGATAAAAATCAAGAAATTTGTATCCACAGAATCCTGTGCATGGAATCTCAGTGTTGGAAGAAACCTCATGGGCCATGCAGTCCAACTCATACCTGATAGAGATGTCCATCTACAATATTGTTGACAAGTGGTCATTGGGGTTCTACTTGAAAATGTCCAGTAATAGAGATCCCACTACCTCCCGAAGTGGCCTGTAGCACTTTTTGCTGACTTTGTTTGAAAAGTTTTCCTCCCAGGAAGATGATAACTTCCTTGCTGCAACTTTCCCTACTCTCCTTGAGTTTTCCAGTATTGGGCCAAGGAGAAGGAATCTAGTCCCTTTTCCATATGACCAAATTTCTCCAGACTAAACATTTACCATTTCTTCAATTGCTCTGTGTATGGCATCATCTGCAGTCCCTCCATCACAACAGTCATACTCCTATGGAATGTTCTCTAGATTGTTAGTATCTTCCCAAAATGACTAGAACTAAATGCAATAGTCCAGATGTGATATGAGTAGGGCAGAGTGCCATGCAACTATCCTCTCTTTCAATACGGACACTATGCTTCTCAACCATCCAGATTCACTTTGTTCATGGTCTGTCCAATTTTGGAAGTCCTTCAACTGTCCTCTACAACTGTCCTCAGTTGTAGTTTGCTTTTTTTGCTACCCAAGCTTTGCATGCCCCAACTCTTCCTTTCTATCAAAATCCTAGACATCCTCCAAGGTTCAGTTTAGGTCCCCACTCCTCCAGGAAGTATCCTCCAAAGTATATTCCCACTCATGGAGCACCTCACCCCATACAGTGTTACCATGTACTTTCACATATTACTCTCTAATTATTTCATGTGTATTAGTCTTGTCTTCCTGAGTGTAAGCTCCCTTAAAGGCAAAGATCATGCCTTGTGCCTCTTGTATATCCCATTGTACATAGTACATAGTAGAGATTTGGACATATAGACATTCAAACCATTATACTATTGATTGACTGATAATAAATATTGTAGGAAATGCCAAGAACATCATCTCATCCCTAAAAAAATATTTAAGCAAATGGAAAGACATCTTTGAAGCCCATGAAAATGGTAGAGAGGCATAACTCACTAGTATAAACTTAAGTTCCACAAGTTTATTGAAGCAATAAATATTGGCCCATACCCTGAAGAAGTAGGTTCAATATTAGCTCAAATGTTTGTTTAAAGTAATATAAAAATATACAGTTGCATCAGTCTTAAAATCATAGGATCATCATGCTGGAACTGGAAATAACCTATCTAATCTGACCCCCTCATTTTAGAGATAGGAAACTGAGATCAGCATTGTAGAATGACTTACATAATGATGTTACACAGGTAGTTCTGGAAAGTGAACGATTTGGAAATGGAAATGGAAAGAAAGGGAGGAAGAGAGGAAGGGAGGAAGGAAGGAAAAGAAAAAGAGAGGAAGGAAGGAAGGAAGGAAGGAAAGAAAAAAAATAAATAAAAGGTGCCACATATACCATATTGCAGCCTGAAAGTAAAATTATCTCAGGTTATATAGACCTAGAGAATATTTTAGTAGGGCTGACGTGTACTTTGGCTATAGTGATACAGACCAAATCCATCTATGTGGCTATGACAAAATGAGGTCTGTTGGAAAGAGTTTATCTGTCATGGCATAAGGAATGGGAAATAGACTCATCTTAATAGATTCATGCTAACTAGCCATAATGAATGAGTTTTTCAGCATTTTCAAAATTGGTTGTGCTTTGATACCTCTGCTATCCAAAATTCTCTTTTTTAACTAAAAAAGAAAAACAAGAATAAAACTCTAAAGCTCAGACTGTATTTTCCCTCTTTGCTCTAATCTTAAAAGCACATGAAAAGTAAGTGCTAATTTGTGAGGCGGCATGTTCACTCACACTAATTTTTTTGTGCTTGGATGGAAAACTTAATGCTGATAAATGCAGATCAACTGAAATTAATGAGATACAGACCATGTTCCAGCAAATTTTATTGTAATTATGCCATTGAATATCCATCCATGCTCAATAAGGAGGTCACTCTGGGCTAAAATCCCATCCCTGACATTTACTAGCCGTATGACCCTGGGTAAATCTATTTGCCTCAGACATAGACCTAGTACTTATTTACTAAGTCAAAAAAGGTTTATGATCTGCATATTTGGGTATTGGTGGCTGCAGTTGGCCAGTAGTTGTTGATGAAGATAACAAAGAAGGTAGGCCCCTTTTCCACAATGAGTTTTCCTCTCAATGATGATAGAGAGGGCCAGGTTGGAAGCAGGTCCAGTGAATGAAGGCAGGGGGCAGGGGGTGTGGAGCTCTTTTTCCAAGGCTCTTAGATCAGGGTCCTGAGCTGTCTGTATTAGGGTATGAAGAGAGATGGTCATCAAGGTGGTGGTGGTGGTGTTACTCTCCTGGCACATGGTGCCTCCTGTCTCTCCCTCAGGGAGCCTTGCTGCTTCAGCTAAACTAGCTGCCCTTCCTTGAGGGTGGCAGCTGATTGGCAGGTGGTGGGGATAGTTATCCCTTTGTCCACAGGGGTTGTCACATTGCATGATGGCTGAGAAGACAGAACTAGAAGCAGGATTGATGGCCCCACTGATTCATTCATTCAAAAATCTTCAAAAGCTTATACTGTATGTGTAGCAAGGAGTTATCTCCTGAGACTAGCTTCTTCTCCCTTTAAGGTTAGATTACTTGTAGTCTCTCTAACTTTCTCTATGGAAATGAGCCTTACCTGATCTATTAACCTTCCTCACTACTGGCAATATCCAGTTGCATACCAGCAATTAACACACTCTAATTCCTTGGCTTTTGAGCTTCTGACAGGAGAGCATTTTCAAGGTAACTTCAAACTCCAGAAATGGCCAAAAAGGCTAGGCCCTAGAGGTCATCAGTTTGGCGATTTCTTTTTGATTTAGGCATTAGAATTTATGGGAAAGGGAAGCCAGAAGAGATTCTATCTTACTTGCCATTAGGGAGGAAGGAAAAAGGAAGGAAGATAGGGTGAAGCAGGTGCATCTGACCGTTGAGTGCCGGCTCCCTTATGCCCTTCATCCAGAACTCTGGTGTGCTGAGACTTCTAGATGATAGTCCTTAAAACTGTGGAACACTTGCTACCAGCCCTTCTTTCTGTGAGAGCTGAGGCACCGGGGAGGAGTGTCCTGTTTAAATTTTCCACAGAAAAGAGAGATGTACTATTATTATATCCCCCAGGCAAATAGACACTTCCTATAAATAGGAAAGTATATAAACATATACCATAATTTATGTACCTCTTGACCTAACATAAATAAGCCTTCAAGTTAAATGAGAGCCTGGCCAGGGTAAGTCTCAATAGGACAGCATCCTGAGCCTGTAAGTGGGGTGATAATGAGATATCTTAGGACTATCTTTCCTGTGAGCCCTTCTACTGCATCACTCCCACAATTACCCCACATATACCTACATAATTATTATAAGCACTAAAGTCTTTTAGGGGTGTTTTTCCCTATTAAGCCAATTTAACTTGCCAGTCATAATCTTGATAACATTTACTTTGCTTGAATCCAATTAGTGAGTGCATATTTAGAAATATTTTCCAACTGAGTAGTCAAAAGGACCCAAGGAAACCCTGTCTTCATAATCTGAGTTCAGATTTAGCCAAAGTAGGGCACAAAAATAGGTGATCTTAGTAAATAATGTCTCCTTTTGTAATTCCTATACAAGGGTTTCCAGTTGGCAATAAAACGATAAATGGTTTCTTGTTCTTTTTATGTTGGATTGCACCTGACAGTTACTATTATTGCCAGCTTTTCCATAAGTCTGAGCAGAGATCTCTTTGGATGCTAAGTTACTTCAAACTTAGGGGAGTCAAATGTTGATTACTATTCTGTTTATTCTGTATACTCTAAGGATTTTTCTATGAAGATTATGTTATTTCCATCATTTACCTGGACCTCTTTGTGCTCTCCCATTTCTTTTTTTTTTTTTTCCAGGAATTGTTTCCATCATGACCCTCACTGTCCTTGCCTACGAACGCTATAATCGAATTGTCCATGCCAAAGTGATTAATTTTTCCTGGGCCTGGAGGGCTATAACCTACATCTGGCTTTACTCATTGGTATGGACTGGAGCTCCCCTCCTAGGCTGGAACAGATACACTCTGGAAATCCATGGACTAGGCTGCTCAGTGGACTGGAAATCCAAAGATCCCAATGATTCCTCCTTTGTGCTTTTCTTATTCCTTGGATGCTTGGTGTTGCCTGTTGGTGTCATGGCCTATTGCTATGGCCACATTCTGTATGCCATCCGAATGGTGAGTTGCCACCTCTAAACTCCCAGATCCATCATGACCAAATTTTCTGTGAAATGGTATCCCTTGTAATGGTACATAATTACTAGTTATAAAATCTCATGTATGAGAATCTAGGGAATTGTCTATTAGAAGGAATCTTATTCTAAGGTCACATACTATTATATTTTTCAAGGTGTGATTCACTTATGGGCCTGGAATATGAGAGAGAGAGAGAGAGAGAGAGAGAGAGAGAGAGAGAGAGAGAGAGAGAGAGATTCTGACAAAGCTTTAATGGTACTAAGTATAATTAAAAATCTTGCCTTGATTTAACAAATCTTAATTGATACCCCTCAAATGCCTATTAAGGGATCATAACTTTATTGATAGGCTTTATATTTGTATCATGGGTATTTTAAACATATTACTTGACAGTATAATAGGTACACTAGTTAGAAGACCTAACTTTAGCTTACTGCCTCAAAGTTATTTAATGAGTTATTTGAACCTCAGTTTCTTTATCTGTAAAATGGAGACAATGATATTTGTACTAAATACCTCACAGCATTATGGTGAAGATAATATGAGGAGATATAGATAGATAGATAGATAGATAGATACACACACATATATAAATATATACACATACACATATTATATGTATATATACATATATGTATGATATATATATATATATACACACACAAAAGCCTACATAAATATAAACATAAACTTAATTTTTCATGAGTCTGTGGGAAAAAGAATTCTGTAAGTAGATGGCCAATTGTTTGATAATGGACCTCCTTGATCAGGTAAGCTGATCCTTCATAGAGCATTGACAGAGTTTACAGTGTCCTAACTTATCCCAAGGTCATTTCCATGCCATGAAGCATGATGGTAGAGTTTTTGAAGAGAATTAACGTCAACAATAGTAATTATAGCACTTTTTGGTTTACAAAGCAATTTTCTCACAACAACTCCATGAAGAAGGTAATGAAAATATTGCTGACCCTGTTTTAAAGAAGTGAAAATTGTAGCTCTAAAGAGTTGCTACTTATCTGTGGGTACAATGCTAGTAAATGTCAGAGCTCATACTCAGAACACAGACTCCAATTTCACTGGTCTTTCACTAGTTCATGTGTACTATTGAGATGTTTCATAGGAATAGGTCTCAAAGTCCATATGTAGGATTTACCCATGCAGAACTCCTATCATCAACAGAAATTTGGTGTGTGTTTTGAGAGCTGGAGAAGTATATTCTGGGAAAGATCATTCTGAAATACAGTTCAGTTGTTTTCCAGTTGTATCCAACTCTTCGCAACCCTATTTGGGGTTTTCTTGGCAAAGATATTGGAGTGGTTTGCCATTTCCTTGCCCAGCTCATTTTACAAATGGGGAAACTGAAGCAAACAGGGTTAAATGACTTGCCCAGGGTCACACAGATAGTAAATGTCTGAGGCCAGATTTGAACTCAGGAAGAGGAGTCTTCCTGACTCCAGGGCCAGCACTCTATCTACTGTGCGACCTAGCTGCCTCATTTATCAGTAGAGTTTACCAGCAGAGTAAACCTTTAAGATCTAAAAGATTACCTTTTAGCTAATCAAAGAAATTGGAAAATAGTTCTTATTCCCAGCTAAGGAGTTTCCCTTATGGGAAAACAAGAGGCCTTTCTGCTACCTCAAATCTGTAATCTCTTTGATATAGGAGAGAACTACCTTAGTGCCCCCTATTAGATCAGGACAAAGCACAAATGAGTTTTAAAATATCAGTCTTAGAGTCAAGAGACTTAGGATAGAGTTCCAACTTTCCTGTTTACTAACTGTATGACAATGGGCAGCTGTTTAACTTCTCTGAACCTTACTTCATTCATTTGCAAAATGTTGATCCTAAAAGCACTTTAAGGTCTGCAAAGTGCTTTACAAATATTCTTTCATTTGGTCCTCACAACCACCCTGGGAGGTAGGTACTATTATTATTCCCATTTTACATGAGAGGAAACTGGGGCCGATGGAGGCTAAGTAGCTTGCCCAGGGTCACACAGCAAGTTAGCTCCTGAGGCTGTATTTGAACTCAGACCTTTCTCACCCCAGGTTCAGTACTCTATCCATTGCACCACCTAATTAGGCATTTTTTAATACCTGTATATGGCTGTTAAAAGGATGAAATCAGATAATGGATGTGCTGAGGCTTTGTAAAATGCTATACCAATGAAAGTTATTATTTTCTTTAGATTATCTTTCATTTTGTTTCCAACTCTTCCTCTTTTGCCTTTCTGCAGCTTCGCTGTGTGGAAGAGCTTCAGACCATCCAAGTGATCAAAATCCTGAGATATGAGAAGAAAGTGGCCAAAATGTGTTTTTTAATGATAGCAACATTCCTGTTCTGTTGGATGCCTTATGCAGTGATCTGTCTCTTGATAGCAAATGGCTATGGCAGCCTGGTCACACCAACTGTGGCTATCATACCATCTCTCTTTGCCAAATCCAGTACTGCATACAATCCAATTATCTACATCTTCATGAGCAGAAAGGTATGCTTTACAACAAACAGAATGCTTTTATTCATCATAGATTGGGGTCAATTCAGGACAGTGTTAGGGATGAGTCTCTTAATCAGGAATTAGCTGGAGGAAGAAAAGCCTTGAAATAAATTCAGGGTATGGATGAATTTCCTGTGAAACTTTTACCAACTTTGGATATAGACTCAATAGGTCCATTTAAAAGTTGTTACCCCAGTCAGCCAAATTGCATGCTTGCCATGTGTGAGGGCTAGAGTTAGGCACGAGAAATACAGAGATACAACAAACCAAAGTTTCTGCCCTTACAGTCTACTTAAAGCAATGCAACATGTACAGATGAAAAGATAGTTAACAGTGCAAGGCCGTAAAATGCATGGAAGGGATGTAAGAGTTCAGAGAAGAAAAAGGTGAGCTAGTTTTTAGGGAAAGAAAAAAGGTGGTCCTAGTTTGAGTGCAGCTCAAAGGAAGTATAGTATTAAGATGAACAGAGATAATTAGAGAGTATATATCCCAGAAAGGAAATAGTAGGTAATGTGTGATTTGGGAACAGTAAGAAGGCTACCTAGGCTAAAGGCAAAAAGTAGTAGGAGATAAGGCTGGAGTGGTAAATAGGATAAGATTGGAAAAGCTCTTGAATGCAAGCTAAAAAATTTTGCATCTTATCCCATAGAAAATAGGGAGCCACTGAAGGGCATATGTCATTTGAGCAGGGGAAATGATAGGACGAGAGGTGTGAAGACTAACAAGGTTCTGAGAGACATAGTTTCTGGGTAATTTAATCATTTTATTAATAAGGCCAGCATGTTATTAATAAAAGCATGGTTCTTTGGCTAGCTCTCTTAGACAAAAAACAATCATGGCTGCGGGCGTAGAGCTTATATGTTCTTTTGGAAGAGGAGTGACAATCAACTCTGATTGGTTAACACTATAAGAAGTGAGCTATATTAAAATGAGGGTCTGAGAGTGACATCTTGTCACCCTTGGACAAAGAAACAATCTCTATACTGAGACTACTCCCAGCCTTGGGCTATCTATACAAAAGGATCTGTCTCCACCCAAATTTGAGCAAGAGGCTATGGTGGCCCCAGGGTGGGTCTAAACTCATTATCAGCAATGTCCTTCAAGAGACTGAATTTTTAAAATCAAGACCTTAGAAAAGGGGGAACTCTATTTCCCCAAATCATTGGATATTAATAATTATTTCTCTCAGAGATAGTTTACTTACCAAAATCACATTCTTTGTGGTTCAAAATGATAGCTATGACACCAATATGTTAGGTTGTTCTAACAGCAAGTTGGAAATGCCAGTTAAAACATATATCGTGAAAGATGACAGCTATGTAATGCTTTTATGTTTTATTGGTAATACTTTCACAAACCAGTTCACATCTCTCACATATACATCTGAAGTCATTCATTTACATCAGTACAAGAAAATTATCCTATGTATCACAAGAACTTATTTTCCATATAAAAAGCCCTCTGCTGGCAGAAATCTTGGCCCCAAAAAGAGGGGAACTGGAGTAATCCAGAATAGTTAGTACTAGTGGAAAAAGCTCTGTCTCTGGAGTCAGAGAACCTGGGTTCAAATCCTATTTTTTGTTTACTGCCTTTGTGAGCTTTTTGATCATTTCATCTGTATATGTTGCAGTTTTTTAACTTAACTGTAAGGGTAGAAACTATGGTTTATTGTTCTTGTATCTCTATATCCCTAGCTGTGCCTGACTCTAGCCCTTATGGCAAGCATGCAACTTAACCTACCTGGGTCTGCTTCCTCATTTGTAACGAGGGTTTTGGCATAGATTGTCTCTGTGTTCCCTTTCAGCTTTACATCTATGATCCTGTGATGCCCACAGAACTGGGACCCAATGTGAGCATATGGCCAAAGTCCCAACATGAATGGGATACTGCCACTCACCCTGCCAAGTGCAGGGTTCTTGTGAGGATAAAGTGAGATAATATTTATAAAATGCTTAGAACAGGTGCTATATAAATGCTTATTCCCTTTCCCCCCTTCTTTAGGTGCTAATATTCATTTATTGAATGACTTTCAGAGGACAATAATAAGTTATAACTTTCTCTGACATTCACAGACCTAGTAGCACTAGTGGCATGATACGAGTTATTGCCTGGATATACTAACCTCAGATTCCACTAAGCTTCCTCCTCTTTCTCTTCTTCTTTTGACCTTTCCCTCTCCTCGTTTCTCTGTCTCTCTTCCCTATCCTGACCTTTCCTCACATTCTCCTCTTTTTCCCCACTGACCTGCCTGTCCCTTACTTAGACATCATATGGAGGGGGGGAAAATATATGCATGTATATGTGTGTTTGAATATATGTGTATACATACATACATACATACATACATATATACATGCATACACACATACACATACACACATATATAACCAATAAGTTTTACTGAATTTGCATTTTGTGCCAAACTGTGCTAGGTATATTGAGGAATACAAAGAAATATAAGACATGGCCCCCGCCCTGAAGTAACTTATAATTTAGTTAGAGAGATAACACAAACGTGAAAAAATGCCAAACACTGTGTAGTGAGGGCTAAATAGTACAAAGCAAACATTCCTGGAATTCAGAGATAGGAAAGACTAATGTGGGTATTTGTTGTATCTTTTTAAAAATAGAGTTTATATTTGCTGTTTTGAATTTGCAAGCTAGTACAACATATTTTATTTACCTCCAAGGAAATTGCTTTTTATGTGGGCGTGAATCCCCTAGGGGATTCCTGTTTGAGCACAAGATGGGCTCTGAACCCACTATTCATTCTGAGATTGTGCAGCCTCAAATACATTTTCCCCTCAATGGTTCAATGACCCTTGATGAGGATAGAAAAAAAGTTTCCCCACCCAAAATGTAAGACAACATAGCATCAGAATCAATTAAATAATATCTAGCTGCCCTCTTAAATATATATATATGTATATATATATTATATATATATATATATATATATATATATATTACACACACACATACATAAATATATGCATATATATTTAAGTCTACTTTATAAAGTATGGAACTAAGGGTCTAATTGTAAGATAGAATCACATAGTTTAGAATTAAACAATTATTTATATTCTTTGAGCATGTTTGAAGCAGCCTAATAATCTTCCTTTATAGGAGAGGACATTTTGAACAAGTTTTTTCTTGATTTGATTCATCTATTATTGCTAAGATTTAAATGTTATACATTAAAACAAAAAAGAATGTTATTAATCTGACCTTTATTATAATTTTAACTCAAATGTATGCCAAAATCTAAAAAAAAGCCTGCAACCTCTCTCCAATTTAGTTTTTCCATCTGTAAAATGGAGAGGAGTTGAAGTGAGGGTACAAGTAGAGAAAGAGGATGTTATATCTGTCTCCGACCATATCTTTGATACTCATATTTCAGTAATTATCAAGTTACTGATTATAACATTTAGGATAATTTATTCAACTCAACTGGACAAACATTTATTAAGCACTTAATATCTCTGAGACACTGTGCTAAGGCACTGGGGATTCAAAGACAACTTCAATAAGCTTACATTCTCTTGAGAGGAAAATCTCTTTGAGAACATGACTTGTAAAGAGACAACCTGTCCTTTTACGACGAGCTAGGCCTAAGACTAGAGATAGGGACTAAATCTGTGATTTCACTGTTGTCAGGAATTTCCACAGGAGGAAACTCCCTCTGTTTAGGCAGGTCAAAACCTCAGCAACTTATAGTCTTTGATATTTGCCTGGAGCAGAGAGGTTAAAATGACTTTGCCCAGGGTCACGTATGGGCCAGCAGGCGTCAGTAGGGGTCAAAGTCATCCTCATCGTCATAAATGTACTTTCTTTTGTAATATCAATATTACAAGACTGATGAACATATCACTCATACCTTTTGGCCCAGCCTCCTTCATGATTATTTATTATGTGACTGGTTGGGCATAAGTCTCTGGCCTTTTGCCCCACTGTAAAGTTAATGGGATCTGTATAGGGACTGAACATATGATTCTGGCTTCAACACAGTGTTTTGTGTTGTGAGTTATTTTAGATAGAAGACACAGGGCCCAGGGTAACTAAAAGCATTCACCTTTAGGGGATTTACTTCCCCTTCCCTCAAGAAATGCCCAGATCTCAGAATAATCTTTATATCATTTTCTTGAATGGCTTCTGAAATGGAAGACCTTTAACTTGGCATTATGTTGTCATAATTCTTTTTCTGTACAGTTTCGAAGATGCCTTTTACAGCTCCTGTGTTTCAGGCAGCTGAAATTCCAGCAGCCCAAGAAAGACAGACCTGTCATCAGGACTGAAAAGCAGATCAGACCTATAGTGATGTCCCAGAAAGTTGGAGACCGACCAAAGAAGAAAGTGACTTTTAGCTCTTCCTCCATCATCTTCATCATCACCAGTGATGAGACACAGATGATCGATGACAATGACAAAAACAGTGGGACAAAGGTGAATGTGATTCAAGTTCGACCTCTCTAAGGATGGAGGGGGACAGTAAAAAACAGGATTCTGCTCAGTAGACACAGCTTCTGATCTTTAATTTTGAAGACTGTGACGGAATTCCCCAGAGGACTTTTGTTCCACTGTGATATGACAAAAATGAGTTGACACAGTTGAACTCCAGTTATGTTCACTGGCCTCAGAAAATAACCTGAGCATGGTTTTGGTCAATGGGTGCTCCATGTACTAAAATATGACTTCACAACATAAGAAGATTAGAGGATTATTTTGAGCTGGAAGAGATCTTAAAGACCATTTGGTACAATCTCCTTATTTTACAGATGATAAAAACTGAGGTCCTGGGAGGTTACATTGCAAGTCCACACAACTTGTTAGAGAGTCAGGAGTCACCCCTTTCCAAATATGATGAATATTTTCATTTCAAATGTTTCTAAATGCTGTACTTTCTAGTGCTTGTGATGCTTTCTCCTTCTGTTTTGCATATGGCTTTCAAAATATCTGCATTTTACATATATGCATAAAATGGGTAGGAAAACTGCCACCAGTTGTAGCTAAAGAGTGCTATCCTTTACTCTATTATGTCCAACTGTCTTCTTTATAAATGTGATATCATGATTAGCCAGCTCTAAGATGAAAATTATAGGCAACTCCCCAGTTTCCAATAAATGAAAACTTAATGCGTCAGAAGACTTTAATGCTATGTGTACCAATGATAACCAAACAGCAGATTAAGACAGATGTGCTGCTGAGCACAACTCTAGAATATGTGAGTGCTAGAGAAAAGAAGACATCATTTTGAAAAAAAAATAATCTTGTATTCTAAGATGATACTAATTCTTTTCTGGTACCTAAAATGTAGATTTCTGCATCACCAGAAAATGTATCTGGTGAACATGACATTAACCTGGGGAGAGTCATCACCTACATGTGACAAAAATATGCCATAGGGTTTGTTAATCACTTTGATAATTTTCCATATATCTGCCAAGCATATAGTCCTAACTAAACATACATGGATTGGAATAGTATTAGCCAAGCAGCAATAGTGTATCAGATAATGGTCAGGACTTGAAGAAGAGGCTTTTCTTTCCAGATTAGTCTACAACTAAAGAAGACTGATTTAAATCATGAACTTACAGGGCTTCCAAAGTGCCATACAGAATTACAGAATGTTAGAGCTAGAATAAACCTTAGAGTTCATCTACTCCGATGCTTTCATTTAATACATGCTAAGAGAGGTTAAGAGATTTTCCCAAGGTCACACTAAATAAATATTAAAGTCAGAACTTAAAACCTAGTCTTATGAGTCAAAGATCACTATCTTTCCACTACACCAGCTTCTTCCCTGGACTTAGAAGAAAAATATTTGTTCTACTTGTCATTTCATTTTTATTATCGGAATAACTGTTTGACCTGGTGGGATAGCATTTTATATGTTTCATGAACTTCAGAGTGGGTGTCTTGGTATATTGAGGAGAAAAGAACCAAAGAAAAAGTTTTCACAAAAAGTGCTTTTGAAAGTCACTCTTATGGATTAGCCCAACCACAGCTTAAAGCTAAAAATCAAGTTGGTTAAATTGCTATTGAAGGTCTAAAATGAAATAAAACATTGTTTCATATATCTAATAAAGGCATCTCTGCTTACATTTTAAAATATTTAACATTTTTCTATTTTTGTACAGAAATTGAGGTGTTTAGAATATTTAAATAAAATTATTCACTGAGCCATGTCATGGCCTTCCTGGGGCTAAAAAAGTCCTATTGACTAATTACTGCATATAATTTTTTTCCCACAGAAAAGTATGGACACACTCTTATGAATTATGCATAAAATATTCCCAGGAACACATTGTTTAAAATTGGGACAAATAGCATTTTCATTCTCTACATCCTTAGAGCTTTCTGTGGTTACTTGAGACTCAGAATGATGGCTATGGAAGCTATCTCAGAGACTACCTAGTTCAATTCCCTCATTTGTATAAAAAGGAACTAGACAGAGCTAAAATCACTTGCCCAAGACCTTATGGTTAAGTTAGTGGAAGAATCTGGACTAGAACTCATTCTTAGCTCAATGCTCTTTCCATTAAAGCAGGTTACTTCTCTTCATGTCTGTGCTCTAACCTTAGAGAAACCTATGAGAGTATCAGAAAGCTCTATCAACATACCAGACAAAATGTAAATTTATCCCTCAAATGACTTCATGTGAAACCACACAAATGACCTTTTTAAAAATTATAGCACTGGCACAACATGATATTATTTTTTCATCTTCTTGTTCACAATGTGAACCTAGCTAATGAAGTAATATATAAGAAATTCCAATTCATTTTAACAAAGAGGTAGGTACCCATAAAAGCAGCTAAGAAAAGAATTTCTGACATTCTAGGAGTAATCAGGAATCTGCACTATTGCCTTTTTAGTTTCCATGATAGAAATCCAGAGATAGTGTTAACAGAGGAAATGCTTTATTTAATATTAGGGCTAACAGAACATACAATAGACTATACTTCCCTTATAGGTGAGTAATGCACCAGAGCCTTGCTATAATGCTTTCATATACTATCTGTTAATGAAATTGAAATTCAATCAGAATTTCAAAATTCCCAGAAGGATTTCATTGATAGCACTATCACCTATAACATGATTTTGAACCCTCAGGATAATGTTATCTTGAGGGTCCAAAATCATTCTTGTGCTCTCAATAAAAAAAAAATAGAATCTGTTTTACAAAAAAACTTTTAAATAGCCCTAAAGAATAATTCAAAATGGCATTGCCATTTGAAGGATGCCTTCTAATAGTGAGTTGGATATGGAGGTCAATGATATGTTTGTGAATGTCTGTCTTTTCCAAGAAGCCAACCATTTGCTATTAGATAACTTTCTTTCATAATGGCCAATATCACAATCTAGAATTTGCTCTTTTAATTCCATGGAAGTTTCAAAAAGAGGTTTTCAGTGCTCCTGAAGGAAGTGACCCAGTTCCACAGCATCTTCAGTTGGACCGCTGGTGACACGTACGTTATAAATAAGCAGGTACCACTTAGGGCTGTTGCTGTCCCAAAGAAAAGAAGTCCTCTGTTTATAACCTGGAAGGAAAGAAGGTGTTATGGTTTCAGTTGATGAGAAATCAAAATCTGATGAGAAGACTATGTTCCTAAGGCTTTTGCTCATGCTGTTCCTTTCAGCAATTCAATTCCTCAAAAGTGTATTAAGCTCTTACTATGTATGAAGCATTACAGGCTCAGCTCAAAATTTCCCTCATTCTTCCAAGCTTTACCCCTCAGACATCTCTAGATTTCATTAAAATTTTCTATGCATTTGTCTTATCACCTCCTACCAAAGATCAGAGATCATGTCTTTGACTCATAAAATCATAGAATATTAAAATTGAAAGGAATGGTGGAGAACATTTAGTTTGGATTTTCTTCCAGTAGTCAGCCACTGCCTTACATGTAACAGATGCATGGTAAATATTTTTTTAATGTAAACTGGCACATTTTAAGGCCTACTATGTAAAGCAAAGTTCTTGAATAGATCTCTTGCACACATTTTGCATAAAAAAGTCAGCATCTGTTCATTACAGTGGTATCCAAGTGAGGAAGTGCCACTTACTCTAAGCAACCACACAGAGTCAAGCAGGCTTGGTTAGGAACCAACCAACTTCCTTTTGTATTCAACTAACTCAACCACAGGTAGGAACAAGTAAAAGGATCTTTAGCTCTGCCCTTGAAGCCAAAAGGAGATCATGCCTAACAGCTTTGTAAACTAGACTAAAGATATGAGCCTACATTAATCGACATAACTATTCCTGGTTGCAGAAAACTGCAGGGCATGAGAGAAAGAACTGGAAGGTCATTGTGACCCAGGGCACATTCCCAAAACCAGATTTTTGCAAATAAATACATTGTTTTATGTGTAAGTCTAAGTCTATAAAATGGTTAAGATGCCAATTCAGTGCCTTGTGTAGAAAAAAGGATCAATACAACAACAAAATTGTTCAAACCTGGTCAAGGGGTGAAGAGGAAAAAGATTATGGCAGACCTGTACAAGTTGGCAGTCAGTAGGGGCCAACATTAAAGTAGGCTAAAAAACTTCTTCGGGCCACAGATACGTTTGTAGCGGTTCACTTTCCAAGTACAGGTATGATTAATGATTAAACTATTTTGCAAATAAACCATATTTTTTAAAAAGGGAAATTTCAATTAATATCAATTACACTTATTATATAAGATTTTTATTTATCATGAAATCACATTAATGTTAGAATAAATTACTTTGCTAAGTGGTACAAGTTTTAATACACTTTTCGGGTTTTCTTACTGTTTACATGTAGTTAATGTGACATATTACACTACTTGTCAGCAATCAGTTGACCATACTCTGGAATCATGTTTGAAATTGATTTCTTTAAAAATCTAAAAGCTAACCTTAGTAGCTGCCTCATTTTCTGAGCTTCCTTTCTTGAAAAACCATTGTTCCCCACTGAGATTTTTCAACAATTTGGACACTTCAATTTATTTTTCCCTGGGGTCCAATTTGCTTAAGTAAGGATGTTCTGATTCGAAATGGCAACAGAGACTACATTCCTTAGGAACAGCTATTACTTTTTGGCAAACAAGGCACAATATTTTGTCTCTCATGTAAGTAAACAAGTGTCTACCTGTCCACTCCAGATTAAACACTCTATATTCTGATTTGATCTTCTGTTTCTTTTCATCACTCATTTTACAAAGTCACCCCTAAAACTTTAATGTTAGAACCACGGCAACTGTTCACGTACAAAAAAATACTGAACGGAGTGTCTGACCTTGGAAAGAGGGCCAGACACTCAGGTAACCTGGAGGGTGGCTACACAACGACGGAGGGGAAGAAGCCCTTGCGTTGTAGCTGCCTTGCAGGCGTCAGCTGCACTCACTCTGTCCTTGTTCAACATCAGTAATGACGAAAAACACAGCTAAAAGCTATAACTCTCGGTCTTCTCAGACTAGAGACACACTGATGATGGTTGGTTTCTGCAGGTCAGGTGACAAACAAGAGAGAGTCTTCAGTGGCAACCGACCCACCAAGTTACATAATGGGCACACCAGTGGCTAGTGGAAGGCAGGGCACGGACAGAGCACTCGTTACATCTTCATTTTCTTTTACATCCTCTACATTTTTTGTGGGCTGCCTGAAATCCTTTGATGGGCCACGAGTGGCCCACAGGCTGTATGTTGTGCAGGCCTAGGTTATGATACAGCCAACCCAATTTAGCTAAATTTTTTCAGTTCTCAGACAGTTGCATCTTAATCATATAGATACATGATCTAATCAAATTTCATGTCATATCTCTTATTTTTGAGTCATTTTTCAGTCATATCTGACTCTTTGCGACCCGATTTGGGGTTTTCTTGGCAGAGATATTAAAGCAGTTTGCCATCTCCTATTCCAATTCATTTTACAGATGAGGAAACTGAGGCAAACAAGGTTAATTGACTTGCCCAGGGTCACACAGCTACTAAATGTCTGAAGCCATGTTTGAACTCAGGAAGAAGAGTCTTCTTGGCCCCAGGCCCAGTGCTTAGACACATAGCTTCCCAAGCCTTTTACTATGTAAACGATATCCCACATTAGTTATTGTATTAGTAACTGCGGCTTCTGGCCAGAGCTACTAATCACTCTGAAAATCGAGTCTGGACAATGGTTTGGGAAATTCAGGTAGAATCTGAATTGATGGCCTTTTTTTTTTTTGAGATTTAGAACCTCTGGGAGATCTAAGGGTCTGGGGTGACATATGAATGGTGAGTTCTGATAAGAAAAATCTTAATGGAGAAGAGAGAGGAAGTGCAAGGGCAGCCCAACAGATGTGGAACATTATTTGAAGGGTGTCAAACGATGTACTTGAAACTATTTTTTCCCCTAACTGGACTGGTCTGGTTGTCTGATATTCCCACCAACAGAGTCACTCCATAGAGTCCTTTTCTGTAGACAAAGATTCATAGAGAGCACAGAGATCATCCAATCCAGCCCCCTCATTTTAGAGAAGAGCAAATGGAAGCCCAGGGAAATGAAGTGACTTCCCCTAGGTCATATCAGTAATTACTAGCAGAGCCAGGAGTAGAACCCAGCTCTTTTAGGTGCAAGTCTAGGACTCTTACCACTATGCAATACTGCTATGGATTAAGAGAATGATGGCTGGAAGAGCAGTAGATTACGTGGCTGATACTTTAGCCGGAGTACTTTTATACAATGACTACCCTTGCTAAGTAATAGAAAGCATGACCTTGAAAAGTAAGGCACATAGAGTATTTGAGGGGAAAGGTTAAAGAAAGTCTCCAATCTGGAGCATTGCTCTGACTCAGTAGGGTTCTTGAATAATCGGGGGCCCTGAACATACAGGAAATGTCATGAAGGCCCTGGGAATGGAAGAACAGTGAAGCAGGAAATCCACTGAGGTAGGCCTGGGAGAGCAGTACTAGAGCAAAACACAAGACACAGGGAATACTGGGGACCTGGGTTTTTGTCTGACTCAGCCTGTTTCCCCAAAACTTCA